TTTCCCCCTTCTTCTTCTGTTTTTGCCTTTGGCTCAACTCGCTCGTTTCATGCCTTCTCTTCAGAAAGAAAGAAAGAAAGAAGTCTCCCGTTTGGCTCGTTGCTCGTTGCTTGATGCGTGCTGTAAGTGCGGGACGGACGGACGGACGGTCGGACGGGGTAAGGACGGACGGTAAGGACGGGGTAAGGACGGACGGTAAGGACGGGGTAAGGACGGGGTAATTATACGTACGTCTTCCGTAATGATCTACCTACCTACTTGGTACTTGGTGCTTATAATTAGTAGTGGTAGTGGTGGTGGTGGTGGTGGTGGAGGAGGTAGCGAATGAATGTGTAGGACCGGTATGTACCTAGTGGTTGTAATTGTATCTGTATGTATCTGTACGGTATCGGCCCCCCCCCCTCCTTGGGTCACTTGTGCGAGGGAGGCTACGCTGGTTACTAACTAGATGGGAGGGAGAGAGGGAGGGAGGGAGGGGCGGAAGAGGTTAGTAGATGGGTGGATGGGTGGATGGATGGATGGATGGATAAGGAAGGAAGTAAATAATTAATTAGTTAATGAATGGATGAGTGGATGAGTGGATGAGTGGATAGGTGGATGGATGAATGAGTAGGTAGATGGATGGATGAACGAATGGATGAATGGATGAGTGGATAGATGGATAAATGAATAAATGAATAAATGAATAAATGAATAAATGAATAAATGAATAAATGAATAAATGAATAAATGAATAAATGAATAAATGAATAAATAGATAAGTGAATGGATGGATAGATAGATAGATAAAGAGTAAGTGAGAATGAGAGTGAGAGTAAGAGCTATAGAATGAACGAATGAAACGGAACTTGCGACGGTTTGGTTGGTTTGTTCGTTCGATTACAGATTATAGATTATAGATTATAGATTATAGATTATAGATTATAGATTATAGATTATAGATTATAGATTATAGATTATAGATAGACGAGATGAGATAAGACATGCGTGTATGTGGGTGTATACGTAGTATGTGTGTGGTTATACCGGTCCCGTAGTCCCATTCACCATTTAAGCTAATACCGGTACGCAGGGAGATCCGCGTCGCGGTACGTCGTACTTGATTATCCGTATACGTACAATCGGTACACACATACACATACACATACATATACACAGGTTACAGTCACAGTCACAGTACCAAGTTCCAGTTCCAGATTCCAGATTCCAGATCGCTACACAAAACTCCATCACCGATACCTACCTACCTACGTTCTTACCTACCCACCTCATAGCTAAAAATAGACAGCCAGCCAGGGCTTTAGGCTTTAGGGTTCAGAAGCACGGAGAGAAAGAGTAAGAGAAAGAGAAAGAGAAAGAGAGCAGAAAAGAAAAGGAAAAAAAATAAATTAAAATAAGAAAAGAAAAGCGCACGCGATACTGTTTGTTTCTTGTCCTACTAGGTAGGTACTATAGTTGTGTACTCGCGACTTTTCCCTTTCCTTTTTTCCCCCGTCCCGTATCCGCTCGGTGGGGGGAAGATTAGTACCGGTAGGTACGAAGGGAGTACCGGTACCGGTAGTATAGTATAGTATGGAGTCGTGTGCAGCATTCATCTAGGTAGGTTACCGGTACTCACTTAGGTACGGTACGGTACGGTACTCACCGACTCACTTACTCACGCACTTGCAGTACCGTACCGTACCGTATCCACTAAAGATCTCCATCCTCATCTCCATCTCCATCTCCATCTCCACGTTAACCTTCCTTCACCTTAACCTCTCCCCCTAGCAAGAGTGAGTTCCCCTACGATCCCGATCCGGATCGTCGACGGTAAGTATAGTATGGTATCGGTATAGTATACGGTAGTAAGCAAGTAAGCAGTCAATCATTCAATCAAGTACTACTAGCTAATCAATCAAACGCAGACGAGCGAAACTCTAAACGAGATGTGCGGTTTGGCTATTTTTAGTTTTGGTTGTTGTACTTGTAAGAGTAAGAGTAAGAGTAAGAGTGGGAATGGCCCCCCTTCTTGTTCTTGTGGTTCTTGTCCTTCTTCTTGTTGTTCTTGTCCTTCTTCTTCTTCTTTTGCTCTTCGAGGTTTTTTCCTTCTTGGGGATGGGGTGGTGGGGTGGAAGGGATGGGAAGGGATGGGAGGGGGGGGGGGGGGAAGGGGGGGGGTGGCATGCGATGCGATGGGAATGGTGGTGGTGGGTACGTACTACATATCCACGGTACCGGCCTAAGTATTACCCCTCGAGGGTGCCTCGAAATTGTAGTTTCCACTTTCAGCCCCCTCCTGGTTTCCCTACCCTCGAGGGGGGGGGGTAATACTTTACGCCTGGGACGTAGTAGTAGTAGTATTCACTCTCCAAAGGCTTTTACATATTTTCACCGTCTAAGAAGGCTCGATTTTCGACTTGTTCGAAGTAGGTAGGTATGCAAGTTTCATTTGTTTTGATACCGTACGTAGCTAGCTATATACCGGTATGTAATCGCTAAGCAGAAAAGAGTGAAATGCATACCTACGTAACAAATGCCCCCTCCTCCCTCCGCTTGACGTCTCCGCAACGACTGCATTTTGCCAAAGCTGTATGCCATGCAGAACAGCTCTCTATCGGCATCTGAGAGAGGAGATCGCGTTGTCAAATTGCTCACCAACGCCGGGCTCAACCGCGATTTCCTTGATCTTGCCAGTATGCTGAAAAGACCCAGAGATGCCAACGCAATCAAAATCACTAGCGATTTCCAGATCAGCTATTTTTTTTTTTTTTTTAGTTAAGTAGTAAGTAG